AGCTGATGCCGAAGGTTGCAGGTTCAAATCCTGTTCGCGGCGGAAAATTTTGCAAGTGTTCCATAAATTAAAACTATAACAACTAACTATAATAAAATAACTAATAACTATAATAAAATAACTAATAACTATAATAACCATGGAACCTTAAAATCATGAAAAAGACCCTTGTCTTTAAAATACAAATTGTCTGATTTTATGTTGATTTCTGTGAAAAAGTAAGTTCAAAAACATTTAATCAAATCATCGATATCTTATGAAAAAATTATTTGATTTAAATCAAATTGATTTAATCGTGCCAGCCAACCCTGCACATACTTACGTATTATATTCTGGGCATTACAGGTAAGAAGCTACTAAATTTAGCTTCGAAAATCGCGTGATAATGCAACTACGAAAATGAACCTATTTTTGAACCGTTCGTGCATAATTTTCGAAACTAGATACATACTATAATTCCAATTTAAAAGTCATAATGAAATGCGCTTCTGCATAAATTATGCAGCTTAATGCGGCTGTTTTTGTATTATTTAAGACCATTATATTTTTTTAAATTTCTTTCATGAGATTAACACATGACTTCTTATTTTTTCAGGTACGTATCTTCTGGATAAGAAAAAATCGGTAGTTAAGCTGGTACGGGTAACGTAATGATATACCTACTATTTATATAATAGGCAAGTTCGTATCGTAATAATCAAAGGCAAAGGCATCCATCTTCGCTTTTATTATGTTCTGCAGAGGTTAGTTAGGAAAATATCGGCCAAGTGCGAGTTGGACTCTCGCATGAAGGGTGCTGTACCATTGTGTATGAAATAACGTTTGTTGTATGAGAGCCCCCCTTGATTTTTATTTTATTACTTTTTTTTGTATTTGTTGCTGTAGCCGTGTGATGCCGGCTTAGAATAGCATCACCCCATTTCTTCCTGTGGGTGTCGTAAGAAGCGACTAAAGGACTCGGGGGTATCATGTGTATTGCAATTTTAGGCGATAGGCTGACAACCTGTCACTATAGCGATACACGACAACAGCTAAAACGGCCCTCAAATATGTGTCAGACGTGGCGATAACGACCGTACTTTTACGGTCGTTGACGCTCTGCCTACCCCGCAAGGGATAAAGGCGTGATGTATGTATGTAGGTATGTATGTATGTTGTTGCTGTAGCGGCAACAGAAAAACGGCGTCTGTAAACATTCTACTCTCTAACTATTACGGTTTATGAGAAACAGCCTGCCAGACAGACAGCGAAGTCTCAGTAATAGGGTTTTGTTTTCACCCTTTGGGTACGGCACCCTAAAAAACTTAATACATTTACACACGTAAAATGTCATGCAAGTGTTTTGAACATTGTTCACCTATTTCTCGTGGCAGAATGCCAGTGTCTGTAAAACGCCCCCTAGTTAATGTTTGTAAAAATACCTATTAGCGTTTCATACATCTGTACGGTCCACTTTATGTTAAGAGGATACCCGAGCGGTGCTTGTTCTTCGCCTTTTCATACTAACGTATAATTCTCCTGATTTCTTGTGTAATTCTTTTTTTAGTAAGTACTAAGGCCTGAATAGGCATGGTTCTATTTTTTTTTCACAAATTGACTACGGAATGAACATATTTAAAATTGGGGTATTGGTATGTTTTTTATGTAATAAAAAAACAAATACAGCTAGCTCTTCGTGTATTATTCTGGAAGGGAAACAGGGAAATAAGTTTGTACGAGAAAACGACAACTTCACACACTTCGATAAACGAACCTAAAGCTATGCGATAACCAGATGGCGTGGGCGCCTCCTCGCGAATGCCAAGTGCAAAGTGACGTCACCTCGGAAGCTCACTCGCGCAGGTGACTAACCTATTGTGGGGCATTCCACGAAAACTACAACTCTGTCCCGCACGGGATGTGTATGGTAGCTTATATTTTTGCCTAGGATACAGAGCTATAGTACTTACAGATCCTAATGCACAGCGAAAAAATGGTTTCGGTTGCACTGAGCAGTGTGGAAACTTCATACAAACTCTGGAAACAGACGCGCGACGCGGCCTACAAGGAAACTGACCCAGTCTCACTCGAGCGAAATGTTCTTGTACGTGTGGCTTGCACGTCCAATTAGATACTCAAACCACACGCCCGTGCGCCGTTTTCCTAATTTGTGCTCAAACTGCCAACGTACCTAAAACTTATGCGCCCGTCATAAGAATGATCCAAACTGTCTAACCTAGTGTGTTTCAATCTTTTTGAATACGCGACCCAGGCAAAAAATAACTGGCGACCCCCCTTTTCGGACATCACAGAAAGACAAAATTAGTAATAAATATCATTTAATCAGTGGCGGATAAGTATAAAAAACTTTGCGCCACTATTGAAGTTTAGTTGCTTTGTGAGGATTTTTTAAGGATTACTGCCCTTTTAGCTGATCTGAATGGCTATTTTGTAAAATTCACATAAACTTTTGATAATTCTGATAAGATAAGCCTTAAATAAATATATTATACAGAAGAAGAATCTTTTCACAAAATCAGTTGTGGTGGGTTTCTAATTTCTATGGAAACAAAAACCAAAGCTTATTTAGTAGGCGCCCTGCGCGCAGTTTCCCTAATATATGGCTTAGTCATGTGGTCGTCTGGTTGCCAAGTAATGTAATGCCAAATTAACACATCGCAAATTAATGAATGCAAAACGTTCAGTGCGTGTTAAATACAATAACTGTTATACTATGACGCGAATCTATTGGGATTTTAATGCACAGTGATCTAGACACACGGCAGTGTGTCCGCCAAGTTCGAGCAAAAAAAGCGACACACCGGCCGTGGGTTATATTACACGAACCATTTCGGGCCAAGTTCGACCCACCTATAACTCAAAATCTATTTTATCTACGCATATGAAATTTCTAGTATCTGTCGAGATCTACTTACTTATCTAAAATACAAAATTTCATTAATGTACCTATTGTAGGTCTTGAGATATTGACGTCAGAAAATCGCTATTTTTACTATACACTCACTGACTGACTGACTCACTCATCAAAAACCTAGACCACTTCCAATGGTCGTATTGACTTGAAATTTGGCATGGAGGTAGGTCTTTAGGTCAAGGTAAAGGAAAAAATCTGAAATTGGCCAAGTGTGAGTCGGTTTTAAAAATAATGAAGGTGTAAATTCATACCCCTAAGGAACTAAAACAAAAAATTTATCTATATCTTCCAATCGTCGTACCGACCTGAAATTCGTTACGAAGGTTTGTATTTAGTCAAAGTAAAGTATAAATGAGATATTTCCTTACCTAACATAATCATAAGAAAAAGAAAATAAACCTTACAAAAATAAATGAAATCCCACCCAAAACATAAATGTGAAAGGCTGCCAAGTTCGATAATATTGGAATGCTTCGCCTATAAAAGAAGTACCAAGTTCCATACACAGACCTCAGTTAAAATAGTTACAGGAATGCACACTTGATTTTCCGCAGTTTGGAAAGTAGATTCTTATTTCCAAACTGCGAAAAATCAAGTGTGCATTCCTGTAACTATTTTTAACTGAGGTCTGTGTATGGAACTTGGTACTTATTTAGATCTCACTTCTTTTATAGGCGAAGCATTCCAATATTATCGAACTTGGCAGCCTTTCACATTTATGTTTTGGGTGGGATATATTATTCTCACAAGTGAAAATAAGAAATAGAAAAAATGTCATACATCGATCACCATCGATCGTCGCTTGGAGACGAGCATCGAGAGATAGAAAATTTGGCATTCATCAACCGGTGCATCGATAGCTCAGTGGCAGAGCGGTGGGGCGTTAACCCTTGCAGCCCGGGTTCGATTCCCGGTCGATGTATGAAATTTTTTCTATTTCTTATTTTCGCTTATAACGCGAATGTTTTGTCAGTCTGTCGAAAACGCACGTGCGTTCTCGTGCTGTGATAAAAGTAAACCGATGGCTTTGTTCATGAGTCGTCGCACAGTGTACTTTTTACCCGAACGTGCGTCAACAGAGTATTGTCGAAATAGATCTTGTACAAGTGAAAACATTTAAATTTTGAATGTACCCACGACCGTTTCCTGCAGTGCCCCCTGGTAAGTTAGAAGCGTAAAATCTATTTTAGAACATCCACTAATCAAAATCATACCCATTACTGAAAACCGCATTATAATCGGACTAGTGGTTTTGAAGATAATTGGGAACATTGATTGACACAAACAAATGTTTATTGCAGCGCCCCCTGGTGAATTGTTCGTGTAATAACTATCTAAGAACATGCACCAAAAAACTCAAATTCAGCACTGAAAACCGCATCAAAATCGGACTAGTGGGTAGATATTTGTAACATAAGTATGCACACACAAACAAACACACATTCTCTCACCCCAAACGCATATACCGCCTCCGTTCCTTCGAAAAATACCCATTAATACCCAAAGCTTGTAACAAGAAGTAAATACTTTTTACCGATGGACATAGGTTGGAATAATAATACTTGGTCTAAGGCTTTTCTTTCTTTTTACCAAAGAAAGATCTCTTCATCCATCCTATGATCTTAGCAACGTTCGATTAATTCCATGCTAATGCATTTTATCTAGAGTCCACTCGCTCGCAAGTACTACGATGCATATTCATTAGAATTAGATTCTTATTATCATACTATCGGTTTACAATCGGTTGCGGAGCAGAGCGGGGCGCGCGACGTATGCGCTGCGAATTCGTTGCCGACGCGCGGCGGATTCGCACCGGAATTCGCTGCGTATCCGCCGCAACTGCTCGCAAACCGCTAGTATGATAAGGCGCAAACGTTATTGAGGGACTTACAACTTAGTTTGTGTGTCACGACGTGCTTAATTCTAGAGCCCTTTGCCCTCATCGGGTAATTGATTTTGATCGAAATACGACTGTGTGAAAAAGGAATTAAATTTGGGAAATAGTTGTAAAACTCTCCTGGTAGATAAAGCTTTACCACGCGTTAGTGGTCAAGATACACTTGCTTAATTCGCGGGCTTGGAGTGAGCCGCTGTGGCCCGGTTGGCAGAGGCGTCGCCAGTACAGATCGCGAAGATCGCTGGTTCAAATCCAGCATGCGGTGAAAATTTTGCAGGTTCCCAAATTGTATACCTAACACGGAAAGTGTTTTAAAATTTGTGTATTCAACAGGTATTGAATTTATTTCGCCGCGACACGCAAGAGATTAATTATATATTGCGTAAAGGTTTTGTGAGAAAGTTACTCAGGTACTTCTTGAAATTATCTACTCTACAGTCTCAGTTCTCAATCGGAGGTTACGATGAAAACTATAACGTATTCAGTATCCACTCAAGCTTTAAGAAAAACAAAAGTATTGTGTTTCATGATTTGTAAACTGCTGCAAACAAACTAGCAGCAAAGTTAACTTTGTAACTCTCAAAAAGTGTTCTTTTTTGTAGGCGTGTCTGACACGATCTTGGCCGTTTTTAGGCTGTATATCATAAACTGTAATAGTTAAAGAGTTGAGCACAGATGCCGTATTTCTGCTGCCTCTATAACAACAAGATAAGAAGAAAATAAAAATTTACGGAGGTCCCATATACAAAACCGTGCTTTTTGCTCGATTTTAGCTATGTTTACCTATTCGTAAGTAGTATCTGATGAACGGATATAGTTAGTCAGTTATTTAAATTATTCACAGAACATTTATTACTATTGCCACTGTAAAATCAAGTACAAAGAAATAAAATTACACAAAAAATAATTAGGAAGATACAACAAACGTGATTTTTATGCCATTTTCATGCAAAATCGTACGGCACCCTTCGTGCGCAAGTCCGACTCGCACTCGCCGATTTTTTAGGATTTCGTAGTCTACTAGAAACCCTTATCATTTCGGTAAGTCTGTCTGTCTGTCTGTCTGTCTGTATGCCGCGCCCTCATAACTTCGTCAGTTTTGGAGCAATCGACATCATATTTGGTGTGAAGATAGATCGTGTTGACCCAAATTTAGAAATGTAGAGAAATAAAAATATTTTTATTGTTTTATGGACCCTCTTTCACATGTGTGGGAACATGTGAAAGGGGGGCAAAAAAAAACACACCGGTTATATTGAGTAGGGTATCGTTGAATACGTCTTTTAAAACTAAGGGGAGGTTTCTATGAAACAAATTCTCTAAAATGTTTCTGTCTCGAGATATTTGGTTTTAAAAGGGGCGTTTTTGAGCCATAATCTGTTCCAGCAGTAACTTCTGAAGTAAGCATGCTAAAAATATGAAAAAAATGTGGAATATAGTTCTTAATATGACGTTACCATGAAAACTATAACGAATAGGTACCTACTGTACCACTTAAGATTAAGGAAATATTAAAGTTTTAAATTTGCGGTTGGTAACCATACAGCTGCAAACAAACGAGCAACAAAATTAACTTTGTAACGCTGAAAGATACTTAAACGTTGACTGACTACGAAACCCTATTTGTGAGCGTGTCTGACACGCTTATGGCCGCTTTTTTTAAATTGTTAGTTTGGTGAGCAGTAAAATTTAAGTTAATGATATTAAAAAATGAAGTTAAGTTGTTAAAAATCTTTTTTAATTTGTTTACCGTCCATATTTACTGTGTGTTACAAAACAACCAATAAATCTGAAAGGAGGTCAAGGTACCCATAAAACTGAACAAATTTGCCCATAGAACATGAGTCGAAATACAAAAAAGAAATGGGTTCTCCCGTACAAAATGAACTCAATTTGTATGGTAGCTTTATTTGTTCTTTTGTAACACGTTGTATAAAAAATCGCATACCTACAAGATGTTTGTATGTATATGTTGTTGCAATCCGAACCGCTTCGCAGAGGGTCTCGCTGCGGTTTCACATAGCCTATAGGTACTCACCTATGTATACGCGTGTCGGTTGCTACTTGCTACCAGTTGGTTACACCTTTGAGTATAGGTAGTATAGGTTAGGTAAGCAAGCTATAAAGTGCGCCTAAAAAGTTAGAACGGTTGGTAGTAGTCTGCACACAACCTCTTTGTCTATCAGTAGAAAAACGCCAGTGACAGCACTATTGAACCTCTATAACTTCTCATGAGCAACTGTTCACGCTTTGACAGTGCGGCGCGGGGCCTTATGCGCACTCTATAGCTTGCTTATATCCTCTACCTAAGGTTACAACACACAGGTAACCCTGAATCGAGAAGGGATGTGATGTGGTGACTGACTGCGAGGTATGTAAGTCATTAATTGACTGTCTGACTAAACTTGCAACTGAAATTACTTATGTACAAATTGCTTATACAATACATGTGCTTTATTTATACAATACACAAAAAAAAAACAAAAATATACAGTAAAGAAAAGATTCGGTACAATATAGGCGGCCTTACTGCTGAGGTAGCAATTTCTGACAGGCAACCATCATCATCAACTAGCCTACATCTACCCACTGCTGTGTATAGGTCTCTTCTTTTTCTCGCTAAGCAAAAGTAGTTTAGAGACACCGCTCCCCTATAACAATAATAAGTATATTTTCAATAGGTGGTTTTAGGAAATATTATGATAGATTTTCTCCGGTCGCCCAGTTTTAAACTGATATGAACAAACTTAGAATTAGCAAAATAAGTTATAAATAGACGTGATATTATTATGAATGAGTGGTGGGTGACACTTCTATACGTAACGTAGTAATAAGTAATAACTCTGTCATTCATTTTTTAAATGCCTCGTTTAAGGGAATTTATTTATTTCGCGTTTGCCCAGTTATCTACCGAACAACAAAATGTAAACAAACAGCACCGAAATTTCCTTTCGCGCTTCTAAATATTCATTTCCACCAATAGGGTACACCTCGCTACGAAACGAAGAACTAAAACATTCAGCAGCCCGCCTCGACATGAACCCTAGTTCATTCCACCCGCCGCCGTACAAGTTCCGCTACTGCATAATAGATGGCGCTGCGAGTAGCGTTCTGTGTAATATTGATTCGGCCATATCTCGCCGCCGCGGCTGCTAATATTGATCGAGACACCGGTTTACGAGTGTTTTTCTCGAGCCTGAGAGGTATCCGAAACAGAAAGATAATTTAATTTTCATATTTAATTCAGTTATTCTTCGTGGGTTCAGTGCAAAGCCCTAGGGAAATACCGTTGGCTGTCTATTTCTGCCTTCAAGAAAATATCCCTCAAAATTTTTACCAAAATGTTCTGTTTAGGCTTGCGTACCCAAAGGGCCAAATGGGACCTATTATTGAGGCTTCGCTGTCTGTCCGTCGATCTGTCTGACTGTCACCATTGTCGATGTTTTTAAGAGTTAATTTTATTAAATTTTAATATTTTTCTTTCAACGTAAGTCAAGTAAGGTCGGTCTTAGTGTTAATAGCTAAAAGCTTTTGCCAAGTTTTGAATTTTGTCTGATGCCGTCGTTAATAAATAACATTTCACTTGAGGTTAAGAACCTACTTTGCAGAAAGCATTATTCGGTTGACATCTGACAAGCTTAATTTAGGTAATCGTACAGCTCTGTAGAAGTGTTTTCAGTAGGTGTGTCATTCAGATATAATAATAAGCAGAAATAAAAAAATGATATTACAGTTACCCGTTAGGTATTGTATTGCCATACTCATTCATCACGCTTGGCAGGTGGATAGAAGACCCCCGCTGCTATTCCCTGGATAATTTTCCCTTATAGTCGCTTTTTCGATACCCATCGGTAGAATTTGATTGACGCTTTTCTAAGCCTGCATCAGCAGTTACATTGGAATTTGAATCGAACAGTAAACGACTTATTATTGGATTCCTTAAGGAAAATAATACAGTTTCCCTATTCTAACTACCTACATACGCTTACGAATACGTACGACACGTGATAGATAAATATGTATAAACAACCATCTTTACAGACTTCTACATTAGTATTTAATAGCTTTGCCAACTATAAACATTAATACCACGTCTTTATGGCTTTACTTTAGAGTCTGCTTAAGTATTTAACTATTGTTTAGTGAAGTTGGCTGCAACTTAAATCGTGTTTTTTATGCTTTGAATGAAAACATATGGTGTATATTTTATGTGTATTTAGTAAAACTTCTAGAATTTCAGGTTCTGTGCGTTATAGGTAAATAATTGTTTCGTTGTTTAGTTAGTCTAAGAAATTATACGATGCAACCTATGTTTGGGTAGAAACTGTTAGAGCAATCATGTAGAGACTTTTATTAGCTTTCATTGTCCCCTAAAACAAAATGTTGTACAAAGCACGGTTTTTAAAATATAAGCAGATTGCCAAGTTATTTAATTTGTCGCAATCTTTGGCTACATTCAATCTGTAAAGAATGAAGCTTTGCGCTCGAGGCGGTGGCGAATTTTACCGATCAGTAATTTGAAAAATTCTATAATTACATTCAATCTGTAAAGAATAAATGAGTCTTTAGGCAAAAATTATTCCGGTAGATGGATTCCTGAAACGCGTTAGTGGCTATACGTTTGCTTAACTCGCTAGCTAAGATCGAGCCACGGTAGGAGTCGCGGTAGCGTAGATGGTAGAGGCGTCGGCATCATTGATGTTTTGAGGGTTCAAGTCTTACTTGAAGCAGTGGAAAATTGCAACTTTTCCATACATACATACGTACATACCTCAAGCCTTTATCCCTTGCGGGGTAGGCACAGCGTCAACGGTTGTAAAAATACGGTCGCTATCGCCACGTCTGACAAATATTTGAAGGCCATTTTAGCTATTGTCGTGTATCGCTATAGTGACAGGTTGTCAGCCTGTCGCCTAAAATTGCAATGCACATAAAACCCTCGAATCCTTTAGTCGCTTCTTACGACACCCACGGAAAGAAATGGGGGTGATGCTATTCTAAGCTGGCTTCACATTTCACAACTTTTCCAAAAATGCGTATATTCGGCACAAACTATCTTACCTGCATAGCTCTTACTGTTAAGGTGTCACCTTGCCGCGCGCAATCATCCAATTGCCGGGTTGCACCGTTGCACGCAGCAAACAAACATGGCGGCTGTGTTCGGTATTCAAACCACATCTTTACATACGTAGGGAATTAATTCGGATGTATGCAAGTGCGAATCCGTAAGAATTGATTGAATAAACAGATCATATTTCTGGTGCA